CAATAGAGAGTTAATTTGCTTTGATGTTACTTGCCATTTGGTGTATGCTTTCAGGTTTATAGGCTTTGGCATATTACAGAGCTGCTAGGCCAGATCCTTGGGATTGGGACTTGGAGCTAGAGGAACAGTCGCTCAGGAACAGCCGTGCACGGTCGCGTGTTGTTGCCGTGTTTTTGTAGTTACCACAATAAAAGCGCTAGCTGCAGTCAGCTATTTCCTATATTACAGTGTTGAGTTGTAATTGATAAATGATTTATGTTCGTTTGAACTGGTGAATTAGAACATAAAAGGCATTTTATTTCATACCGAGGTTTACCTTAAATAAAAGCGCGGCATAATATAGACGCTACCTCTTATACAGACAGTTTGATATTTTGTTGAGATTTTACTGTTTATAGATGAAGGGCAATATATCGGGGTTATCATTAGTAAACGATAAAAACAGTTTTAACTTTCCAACACGAAAGTGAAGCAATGCAACCATTCAGTAAACAAGCGTTAGTCGTAAAACGTCTACTTATCAGACATCTGTCACATCTCACATCTATATAGGTAAATTAGTACACCAACACCAGCTATGATAGGGCCTATGTGAAACAGACAAGCCTTCAGCGATTCCAGCGATAATGATGCTCAGAGTTTGTCCAGTCCCAAGTATCAAACAAATGGTAGCAGTATCATTTTCTCAAATAAATCTTCAGGTTGGTTTGTATGGATTGTAGAAATGTTCATGTAACCCAACAAGTGTAACGTCTATATGTGATGATTCGATGACGTCATAGGCTCATAGACTGTGCACATCTGTATGTGTCGTTTTGATTCGTCATTACGTAATTGTACAACAAATAAGTGTACGTACGCTTTTAGCGTATCCGCATTGACGTCGATTTTCCATTGCCAATTCGTGCATATTTACATCTTTGTGTGCGGATACAATGATAATTTTTCCGATGGATGTGACAAGGTACGTACCGTACTAGTCGTTGGAACGTCACGAATAAACACTCGGTTGTGCGACATGCATGGTAACAGCATGTGTAATACGACACTTCCACAGTTCATAATAACGTTATATAAAATATCGTTTTTTAGTTTAAATTGATGGACAGATTACAACACTGCCGTACCATACGAGCTATCGCCAGTTGTAATAATACTTAATCCGTATAACTACTCTGTGTTATGTGAACAACAAGATAATAAACACGACATGTCGGACTCAGAAAACATTGATTTTTACATCAATAATAGAACAGATGTCAGAAGTAACTAGTGCCCTATTGTAAATAATATTTGTCTGGATGTAGAACGTGGGATTGGTGTGGGATTTTGGATACCCTTTATGCTCCATGTATGTGCTGTTTTATTGTGTCTACTGGTCACATTTACCTGGTCGGGTGGTTACTCCGGCCGCCGGTTGTTCGGTTTGTATTCTTTCATTACCTGGAAATCCGATGTTTAACACCGTGACTAATATTTCCAACAGGTAAGGCATTTACTCATTTTATTCCAACAGATTGTGTAAATAAATGAATAATTCTTCGAAATATAGGCTCGGTCGGCATGATAACGATCTCACTTGGGTAGACCTTGTGGTATGTGTCAAAACTTGGCAGGTCACTGTTTGTCTTCCCGGAAATATGATCTATGCAATACCAGTAAAGTAACGGTAAAATCTTCAACGGTTAATATTAAATGGTAAAATTTTCATGTAATTTTCCGTGTGAGTGTTCTTTATTCTATGTAAAAAATCTTGAACGGAGTTGGAGGTCATGTATGGCTTTCCATAAATAAGTTTAATAATGAAATAGACCGATCGACCTTACGGTCTACAGTGTGTGTCAAACCTCTACGCGTGGTGACACCGTTTATTCTGTAACCTGGGTAACACTGGCTAAGGTAATTCCTGATACTGGAACTTAATCTGTTATTCTACTAAACTGTTATACAATGAAAATATATTACAAATAGGGTTTAGGTTTTTGTTATTTATATCTATTCAGTCTTTTACGACGTTGGTCCGTTTTAGCTTAATAGCAATGCAGTATTCAATAACGTTGACACTAAATTATTAATCGTGGTAGATTGTAAGCAATGCATGCTAGAAATAGCTAATATATCAGGTGGTTTCAATGCGCAATGTTGCTCTCCAAAACTCGCACATTCCCATTATTGTGTAATAATTGTGAACTACAAGAAGGAAGAGACGGGGTACGTGTATCGTAATGGCGATTGTTTAGTCAGCGATCGACGGGATAACAAAAGACAAAACCATATCGCTTCCAGGAGTATGATACACATCTCTCAGCTTATGATCATTAGACGGTTAATTGGTTGCATACCCCCGTACACTCTTATTGATCAATGCGCACGTATACAAACGAGGAACTAACTAATTTGTAATAGTGCTCTTTAGGTGCGTTATGTATATCGACGAATGACAGCAAAGTATACAATGTCAGTATGATATGGTTTCATTAAAAACCATACGATAATGTGTTACTTAACCTCTATCACAGGTAAACGTAAGACAAACAGTATGATAGGTTTTCATTAAAAACAATACAATAATATGTTACTTAACCTCTATCACAGGTAAACGTAAGACAAACAGTATGATCGGTTTTCATTAAAAACCATACGATAATATCTTACTTAACCTCTATCACAGGTAAACGTAAGACAAACAGTATGTTGTAAATATTGTACATTTTATGTCGACCACATGTGAGACGAGTCATTGACTCAATGTGTTATCGAATTTAAATAAAGTCTATTATTATTATTATAGGTTTTCATTGTTAACCGTATGATAATGTGTTACTTAACCTCTATCACAGGTAAACGTAAGACAAACAGTATGATCGGTTTTCATTGATAACCATACGATAATGTTTAAGTAAACTTCCATCACAGTTAACGTAACACAAACAGTATGATAGGTTTTCATTGATAACCATACGACAATGTGTAAGTTAACCTCTATCACAGTTAAACGTTAGACAAACAGTATGATAGGTTTTCATTGATAACCATACGACAATGTGTAAGTAAACCTCTATCACAGTTAACGTAACACAAACAGTATGATAGAATTTCATTGATAACCATACGACAATGTGTAAGTAAACCTCTATCACAGTAAACGTAACACAAGCAGTATGATATGTTTTCATTGATAACCATACGACAATGTGTAAGTAAACCTCTATCACAGTTAAACGTTAGACAAACAGTATGATAGGTTTTCATTGATAACCATACGATAATGTGTTACTTAACCTCTATTACAGTTAAATGTAAGACAAACAGTATGATATGTTTTCATTGTTAACCAAACGATAATGTGTTACTTAACCTCTATCACAGGTAAACGTAAGACAAACAGTATGATAGGTTTTCATTAAAAACCATACGATAATGTGTTACTTAACCTCTATCACATTTAAACGTAAGACAAACAGTATGATAGGTTTTCATTGTTAACCATACGATAATGTGTAACTTAACCTCTATCACAGTTAACGTAAGACAAACAGTAAGATATGTTTTCATTGTTAACCATACGATAATGTGTTACTTAACCTCTATCACAGGTAAACGTTAGACAAACAGTATGATAGGTTTTCATTGTTAACCATACGATAATGTGTAACTTAACCTCTATCACAGGTAAACGTAAGACAAACAGTATGATAGGTTTTCATTGATAACCATACGACAATGTGCAAGTAAACCTCTATCACAGTTAAACGTAAGACAAACAGTATGATAGGTTTTCATTGTTAACCGTATGATAATGTGTTACTTAACCTCTATCACAGGTAAACGTAAGACAAACAGCATGATAGGTTTTCATTGATAACCATACGATAATGTGTAACTTAACCTCTATCACAGGTAAACGTAAGACAAACAGTATGATAGGTTTTCATTGTTAACTATACGATAATGTGTAAGTAAACCTCTATCACAGTTAACGTAACACAAACAGTATGATAGGTTTTCATTGTTAACCATACGACAATGTGTAAGTAAACCTCTATCACAGTTAAAGTAAGACAAACAGTAATTAAAAGTTATTAATAGTTAACCATACGATAATATGTAACTTAACCTCTATCACAGGTAAACGTTAAACAAACTTGATAACATCTATAAGACTTGCTAATAGATACAGTATGTCAGCTGATCACATTCTGTCAGATTAAGTTTCATTTTATTATGTAATTCTATTTTTTTGCATTTGATATAATATGATCATTTAGGACCGCACGGTCAAACAACACAACGCTGTACTGGGGGTAAAATGTAGAACATTATCTGTATGAGCACCAACAGAGATTCTAAAAGCACCTAGTTACAGTAAAAAGATAGACAGGAAATATAGACAGATTGATACGAAAGAACACTACCGATTATGTGGTGGAATCCTCATTGAGGAATTCGTATCAGTTATGTCAAGCTGTATGGCGGGTTTCTCCTGTTATAGTTAAATACATTCCAAATTGTCTCTTACCGAGTGCATTATCCGACGTCTCGGTTTGGACCTAACTGTTTGCAAATCATGACGTTCACTGCAAATAAAATTTGTTGAAATGCAAGATGATGGCGTTCTACTTATTGATATTTTAGAATTTTACGCTTTTAAGTTGGCACTCATTGTTCTGTGGAATATTTCACTAGCATAGAAAATAGGATTCACTTATTAAAAGTCAGCATTTCATAACCATTAAATCCCTATATTAGTTGTGCTTATTCTATGAATAAATAAATCATCAAGGTTCCAATATGACCAATGTAATTTCATGATGACGTTGACAATCTAGACATGACGTTCAAAAGTAATATATATCCAAACCAAATTAGGTAGGGGGTCTTTGCGTTAATTCCGACCATTCGGGTAATTTCCACCAAATTTATGAAACTGTTGAAGCTGTCTTGTTTTTTAGTTGTACTGATAAAGATACAGTGTATTGTACTTAGCATATAGCCAAGCAATATTGTGAGGATGGTTATCCCTTCAAACAGGTATGAACACAGAAGACATGAACAAAATCATTGTCATTTCAATATTTTAGAAAAAGTATACATTCTAAATTGTACTCCTTATTTCAGCAGCCGAATGACTACTAAGCAGAAGGTCTAATGCATTACAAATTTAGGTGAATAAGTTAAACTTGCATTAATCGTCAAGAAAACGAAAAACTCGATAAGACATCCATGGGAACCGATGGCAACCAAAATAAAAAGAAAAACATCATGCACTCAAAAAAAATATGAAAACGGAGTTGACACCTGATATTCCGGACTGGCATTTCATTTTTCATTTCTATGGTTTCTCCCGTGAAATCCAGGACTGAAGAGGTGGCTCACATATGCTCAAATTTATATCTTAAGTCTTAACCATTGTGAACACTGTAATCTCGGTAGGAAAACAGATGGGAAACCTCGAAGGTAGGAAACATTGGCCAGTTAGTTTATAACTATCTATTTTAGAAACCTGTGGGTCATAAGGCAGGCAGTGTAGTAGAATACTTATCATCTCTTACATTTAAAATCAACAAAAATAGGGTTGGGCTAGTATGTATTTTAACGCAGGAAGAAAACCTAGAGGTTATATATATATATATATATATATATATATATATACACATTTCACGTTTACGTCCATGAAAACGTTTAACACACAGAAACACGATATTTCATGTGACTTACTCAACTTCCTGATTGGTATACAATAATCGTTATCGTAAAAAATTGTATCTTGTTCAATGGTTGTGTTTTGAAGATACACAAAAATTAAAATTTGCGCTAATCACTGATTAAGCTAATCACCTTTTGAACAACTGGGCCCTGGTGATCAGAGATTATTCACTGATAGCACATACCAAACCATGACAACTGCAATGTTATAAGACAAGAAACAGAAACGAATAATAGTTCTTGGAAGAATTCGTTTAAAGAGAATTGCATTGGTAATATCAGTGCGTAGACAGGTAACGCTGAGGTATAGAGTGGAGGTAGGTTTACTACCAGGTCATTACCTGGCTACACAGCTGTGCGTTAGGGCTAGCTGACGGCTTTCATCACAGGGACTAATACACACCTTCATGGCGTAAGTACATGTTAAGCATCACTAGGATTGGATATGAATATATGCTATATGGCATAACAATAAATGTGTGTATACGTGTAAACTGTAAGCTGATTTTTAAGTTAATGAGCGGTGAATTTGATCGAGCAGATATACAATGTACCCCGTGTTTACGTCTCACATCCGGGATAAAGCTTGTCTAAATACCTATGTAAAACGTAGTTAAAATAAGGCACTCAGTCGTAAAGTAGTAGCACACACGACACTTGACACGTGAATCGTTTCCTTGTGGGTGTAAAGTGTTCATTCACTATTAAACACTCTCATGGCAGACGATTATAACATGTAGGTGCGATATCAATCCTGTTTTTCGTTAATTGTAAGGTATC